GGCTAAGGTGAGGTGGTTAGGGAAGGGAGAGGTGGTTAGGGGAGGGGTTAGGTGGTTTGGGGAGGGGTAGTGGGGCTAAGGTGAGGTGGTTAGGGGAGGGGTTAGGTGGTTTGGGGAGGGGTAGGTGGCTAAGGTGAGGTGGTTAGGGAAGGGGGAGATGGGTTAGGAAAGGGGGGGTACGTGTTTTTGTAAAAGTTTTTTGTGTCAAGTGGTGGAGGGTGTGTGTTGGTGTGTGTGTGTGTGTGTGTGGTGTGTGTGTGTGTGTGTGTGTGTGTGTTATGTGCGTGTGTGTTTTATGTGTGTGTGTGTGTGTGGGGTGTGTGTGGTGTGTGTGGGTTGTGTGTGTGTTGTGTGGTGTGTGTGTGTGTGTGGGGTGTGTGGGGTGGTGTGTTTTGTGGTGTGTGGGGTGTGTGGTGTGTGTGTGGTGTGTGTGTGGTGTGGGGTGTGTGTGGGGTATGTATGTGTGGTGTGTGTGTGTGTGGTGTGTGTGTGTGTCGTGTGTGTGTGTGTGGTGTGTGTTTGGTGTGTGTGTGGTGTGTGTGTGTGTGTGTGTGGGGTGTGTGTGTGGTGTGTGTGTGTGGTGTGTGTGTGTGTGTGTTTGTGTGTGTGGTGTGTGTGTGTGTGGTGTGTGTGTGTGTGGTGTGTGTGTGTGTGTGTGTGGGGGTGTGGTGTGTGTGTGGTGTGTGTGTGTGGTGTGTGTGTGTGTGGTGTGTGTGGTGTGTGTGTGTGGGTGTGTGGTGTGTGGTGTGTGGTTGGTGTGTGTGTGTGGTTTTGTGTGTGTGTGGTGTGTGGTGGGGTGTGTGTAATGTGTGCGTGTGTGTGTGTGTGTGTGTGTTTGTTGGTGTGTGTGTGTGTGTGTATGTGTTTATGTATGTGTGTGTGTATGTGTGTGTGTATGTGTGTGTGTGTGTGTGTTTATTAGAAAACTTTTCGGTCCTGGGACCTTGACTGGGAACTTTATCTAATAATTATGTCCTAGTGTTTGCTTACGTGCTTTTCTAAACCAACTTGTCGGTGTTTGTGGATGAATGGTTCAGAGAACCGACAACTTGATAAATTAGACACATGTCCTAAGCTGTCTGGGAATTAACGTGGGGGTGTTACCGAGACCATGGCATGCTGTGGTGTCCTGGAATCTCAGGTTAAAGTGTTGAAGAAGGAGGTTCAACTTCTTCAGAAGGAAAATAGAGGCTGAAGCTTCGCCTAGATGGGAGTGAGTGTGAGATGGTTGGTGCTGGTAAGGAGGAAAAGGATACCAGCAGTGAGTTAAAGAGCTGCTTTAAGTGGCAAGTGGTTCACAATTCAGGAAGAAGGAAGATAAAGAAGGTTAATAGGGAAGATTTGAAAATAGGAAATCGATTCTCTGTTCTCCAGGACGAGTGTTCTTCAGTGGTTAGTGAGGGTAAAGGTACCACTGACTCCCCTGCTAATCAAGGTAAGAATATTCTAATTGTGGGATGCTCTCAGGTAAGATATATGGACCGTGCTTTTTGTAACAGAGATAGAAAGGTCAGAGGGTGTGCCTCCCAGGAGCTTGTGGTGGTGACATATTCAACATGTTGGATAATATGTCAGGTAATGGGAACAAACCCATTATCTGCCTTAGTTCTGGCAGAAATGACATCGGGAAGGGCAGGAGACAGGAGCTGCTGGATAAGTACAGGTCAGCCACAGAATTAGTCAGGTCTAAGTGAGGGATCCCAATCATATGTAGCATCTTGCCTAGAAGGAGAGTGGGCAATGAATGGATGTCTAGGGCAATTGGTATCAATTGCTGGTTAGACAGGTACTGCAAAGAACTTGCAATCCCATTCATTGACAAATGGGACAAATTCTATGGCAAACGTGATATGTATGGAAGGGATGGGGTTCATCTGTTGTGGGCTGCAGTGGTTGCATTTGCCAGTTCGATTGATGGGGTCATTGATGACTTGTCTAGGAATTTAAACTGATAGATTATAGAGGTATGGGTGTTTGTGGGAAACAATCAGGCTGCAGTACTAGGGTTAAAAACAGCAGATATTACCAGGATACCTCAGGGATATGCTTAAAAGACAATATTCAAAATAAAGTTGTCAGTAAATGCAAAACAATTGCTCAACAAACAAAGAGAGATAGTAGAGGACGAGTGACTAGCTCCCTTAAGGTTTACTATACAAATAGTAGGAGTCTAAGAAATAAGATAAATGAGCTAAGATTACTTGTAAGTGCAGGTAATATAGATAATATTGCTATAACAGAGACCTGGTTCAACTTGAAAGATAGAGGAATGCCTCCTGAATGCAACATACAGGGTTATAAACTATTCCACACTGATAGGGTTAACAGCAAGGGTGGTCGATAATTTAAATTGTTGTGTTAGACAAGATATAAGATTAGAAACATCAGACACAGACTCTGTTTGGCTACAGTTTCACGAAGGTCATGAAAAATTAATTTTGGGTGTGATTTATAGGCCCTCAAACCTTGATAGGGAGTGCAGTAAGCTGTTATGGGACGAAATTTCTAAAGTGTCTAGATATAAAAATGTTGTGTTAATGAGACATCTTAACTTTAGACAAATTGATTGGAACAATGTGATAGGAAATCTTGAGTCTATTGACTTTCTTGATATGGCTCAAGATTGCTTTTTAAAACAGTTTGTGACAGAATCAACTAGAGGAAACAATCTGCTTGACTTGGTTCTTGCCAACAAAGAATCACTAGTTAATAATCTTGAGGTTTATGATGAACTTGGGGAAAGTGATATATATCATGGAATATATATCATGGAATTACCCAAATAACTGCAAGCAAGTCTCTGTCCCAGATTTCCACTTGGCCGACTTCATGGGACTGAGAAATTACCTGGGTGGGCTAAATTGGGATGACCTGCCTATGGGTCAGGTAGGTGACCTTGGTTGCCAATATGACGTGTTTCAGAGCACAGTGCTAGCTGCCCAGACAACTTTTGTTCCAATTAGGGAAATTAGATCTAACAAAAATGATCCCTAATGGATGAACAATACATTAAAACATCTCATTGGTCAAAAGAGAGGACATATATGCGTATCAAAAGAGGGGATGGGCAGTTAAGAAGTCAATATATTCAATTAAAGAGAGATACAAAAAGGGAATAAAAAAAGCAAAAAAGGATTACGAGGCTCAAGTCGCAAGGGATTCGAAGACTAACCCAAAAGGGTTCTTTCAGGTATACAGAAGTAAGATTAGGGACAAGATAGACCCACTTAAGAGTAACTCAGGTCAGATCACTGACAGTGATAAGAAAATGTGTGAATTTTTCGATACTTACTTCCTCTCAGTTTTTACTCAGGATTTTACAAGCGAAATTCCAGAAATAATAAATAATATAGAACAGGACGATAATAATCTATGCATTATTGGGGTAACTAGTGACATGGTCCTCCGACAAATAAAGGAATTAAGACCTAACAAATCCCCAGGCCCTGATAAACTGTTTGCGAGGGTTTTAAAGGAATGTAATGAGGAACTTAGTATACCTTTGGCTAATCTTTTCAATATATCACTACAAAGTGGCACAGTGCCGGACAAGTGGAAAATGGCAAAAGTAATTCCTGTTTACAAGGCAGGTGACAGGTCCTTAGCTTTGACCAATAAGCCTTACCTCCATAGTGGGAAAATTTATGGAATCAGTAATTGCCGAATCAATTCGTAGCTATCTTGAAAGGCATAAATTGATTGATGAATCTCAACACGGTTTTACAAAGGTGCGTTCCTGTCATACGAATTTACTAACTTTTTTTCACTAAGGTGTTTGAGGAGGTAGATCATGGTAATGAATATGATATTGTGTATATGGACTTTAGTAAGGTTTTCGATAGAGTTCCACACCAGAGACTACTGAGGAAACTTAAGGCACACGGAATAGGAGGAGAATTTTTTTCCTGGGTAGAGGCATGGTTGACAAATAGGCAGCAGAGAGTTTGCATAAATGGGAAGAAATCAGAATGGGAGCACGTCACAAGCAGTGTTCTGCACGGGTCAGTGTTGGGCCCGTTGTTGTTCTCGATTTACATAAACGACATAGATGAGGGAATAAATAGCGACATAAGCAAATTTGCTGATGACACCAAAATAGGCCGTCCAATTCATTCTAATGAGGACACTAGAGCACTCCAGGATGATTTGAATAGACTGATGCAATGGTCGGAGAAGTGGCAGATGCAGTTTAATATAGACAAATTCAAGGTTCTAAATTTTGGACAGGAAAATAACCATGTCATATATAAACTAAATAATGTAGATCTTAATACTACTGATTGCGAAAAGGATTGAGGAGTTCTGGTTAGCAGTAATTTAAAACCAAGACAACAGTGCATTAGTGTTCGCAATAAGGCTAACAGAACCCTTGGCTTCATATCAAGAAGTATAAATAATAGAAGTCCTCAGGTTGTTTTTCAACTCTATATATCCTTGGTTAGGCCTCATTTAGAGTATGCTGCACAGTTCTGGTCACCGTATTACAGAATGGATATAAATGCTCTGGAAAACGTACAGAGTAGGATGACAAAGATGATCCCATGTATCAGAAATCTTCCCTATGAGGATAGACTGAGGGCCCTGAATCTGCACTCACACCCATATAAGAGCGTTGGTATAACTATGATCTCATACATTCCCTCTTTGCTTCCCTGGAAAAATTTTTTGTCTCCACAGACTCATCAGTGCACCACGTACCTTTCTCGCCCTCGTTAATTCTATGATTCATCTCATCTTTCATAGACCCATAGACGTCCACTCAGTCAAAATTTCTTCCCTTCCTGCGTATCGTATTAAGTTAATTTTACGAAGTGTTATACAAAAAAATGCCTCAATTCTTCAATCGTTCTATACCAAAACGTGCCAGACAAAATCGTGTTAAACGACGGTCTACTGTATATATATTAGTCTCCCTCCCTCACTCATATATCATCTATATTGCAGATAAGACCTGTCAAGACAGAGCCATAATACAGCGTTGAGATTTGGTAATCAGAAAAATGACCTCATACTTGATGGTCATGCGTGCGTTGCCGGTGGCAGTGCTGAGGCTGCTGCTGCTGCTGCTGCTGAGAGAAGCTGGTGAACATGACTATGATGCCTCTTACAGGCTCAGCACCCACTACGACTTTATCATTGGTAAGTCACCTGGGTAACTCTTGTCTCAATGAATATCTTAACATCTTCCTACGTTTACTGGCACACACACACACACACACACACACACACACACACACACACACACACACACACACACACACACATACACACACACACACACACACACACACACACACACACACACACACACACACAAACCTCACTCAAGGAAAAAGATCTTGGGGTGAGTATAACACCAGGCACATCTCCTGAAGCGCACATCAACCAAATAACTGCTGCAGCATATGGGCGCCTAGCAAACCTCAGAACAGCATTCCGACATCTTAATAAGGAATCATTCAGGACCCTGTACACCGTGTACGTTAGGCCCATATTGGAGTATGCGGCACCAGTTTGGAACCCACACCTAGCCAAGCACGTGAAGAAACTAGAGAAAGTGCAAAGGTTTGCAACAAGACTAGTCCCCGAGCTACGAGGTATGTCCTACGAGGAGAGGTTAAGGGAAATCAACCTGACGACACTGGAGGACAGGAGAGATAGGGGGGACATGATAACGACATACAAAATACTGAGAGGAATTGACAAGGTGGACAAAGACAGGATGTTCCAGAGATTGGACACAGTAACAAGGGGACACAGTTGGAAGCTGAAGACACAGATGAATCACAGGGATGTTAGGAAGTATTTCTTCAGCCACAGAGTAGTCAGTAAGTGGAATAGTTTGGGAAGCGATGTAGTGGAGGCAGGATCCATACATAGCTTTAAGCAGAGGTATGATAAAGCTCACGGCTCAGGGAGAGTGACCTAGTAGCGATCAGTGAAGAGGCGGGGCCAGGAGCTCGGACTCGACCCCCGCAACCTCAACTAGGTGAGTACAACTAGGTGAGTACACACACACACACAGTGCAACCGGTGAAGAGGCGGGGCAGGAGCTAAGACTCGACCCCTGCAACCACAAATAGGTGAGTACAAATAGGTGAGTACACACAGTGTGTGGAGTGTGGTGGAGGCAGGATCCATACATAACTTTAAGCAGAGGTATGATAAAGCTCATGGTTCAGGGAGAGTGACCTAGTAGCGACCAGTGAAGAGGCGGAGCCAGGAGCTAGGACTCGACCCCTGAAACCTCAACTAGGTGAGTACAACTAGGTGAGTACACACACACACAGGAAGGGTACTTCAGTGGATCAGAGAATACGGGATGAGGCATTACAGTGGGCACCTGTGACGAGCGGGGTCCCACAGGGGTCGGTCCTATGACCAATGCTATTTTTGGTATATGTGAATGACATGATGGAAGGGATAGACTCAGAAGTGTCCCTGTTTGCAGATGATGTTAATGAGGAGAATTAAATCAGATGAGGATCAGGTAGGACTTCAAAGAGACGTGCACAGGCTGGACATATGGTCCAGCAACTGGCTTCTCGAATTCAACCCTGCCAAATGCAAAGTCATGAAGATCGGAGAAGGGCAAAGAAGACCGCAGACAGAGTATGTGCTAGGTGGCCAACGAGTTCAAACCTCGCTCAAGGAAAAAGATATGGGGTGAGTATAACGCCGAGCACGTCTTCGGAAGCACACATCAACCAGATAACTGCTGCAGCATATGGGTGCCTGGCAAACCTGAGATTAGCGTTCCGATACCTAAGTAAGGAATCTTTCAAGACACTGTACACTGTGTACGTCAGGCCCATACTGGAGTATGCAGCACCAGTTGGGAACCCGTACCGGGTCAATCATGTTAAGAAATTAGAGAAAGTGCAAAGGTTTGCGACAAGGTTAGTTCCAGAGCTAAGGGAAATGTCCTATGAAGAAAGATTGAGGGAAATCGGCCTGACGACACTGGAGGACAGGAGAGTTAGGGGAGACATGATAACGACATACAAAATACTGCGTGGAATAGACAAGGTGGACAGAGAGAAGATGTTCCAGAGATGGGACTCAGAAACAAGGGGTCACTCTTGGAAGTTGAAGATTCAGATGAGTCACAGGGATGTTAGGAAGTATTTCTTCAGTCATAGAGTGGTCAGAAAGTGGAACAGTCTGGCGAGTGATGTAGTGGAGGCAGGAACCATACATAGCTTTAAGACGAGATATGACAAAGCTCATGGAGCAGGGTGAGAGAGGACCTAGTAGCGTTCAGTGAAGAGGGGGGCCAGGAGCTGAGTCCCGACCCCTGCAGCTACAATTAGGTGAGTACACGATAGTGCTCTCTGGAGCAGGGAGAGGGTGGACCTAGTAACGACCAGCAAAGAGCAGGTCTGCCCGGAGCTGAATCGACCCACGCACATTATATATATATATATATATATATATATATATATATATATATATATATATATATATATATATATATATTATATATATATATATGTCGTGCCGAATATGTAAAACTGGTCAATTAGCAAGAACTCATTTAAAATTAAGTCCTTTCTAAAATTTTCTCTTATACGTTTAAAGATATATTTTTTTCATTAATGTTAATGTAAAAATTTATAATTTTGCACTAAAAGAATCTTAGAAAACTTACCTAACCTTATTATAACAAAAGTAATTTATTTTAGCCTAACCCAACTAAATATATTTTAGATTTGTTTACAATAATTTAATACTAAACAAACACAATGAAATATATTTTTTTCGTTAGGTTAAGAATGATTTTGGCGAAATTATTGCATACACAAATTTTCACTTGTCCTATATTGCAAGATGAGCGTTGCTATTTAAGCCAAGATCGCAAGTTCTGCCTATTCGGCACGACATATATATATATATATATATATATATATATATATATATATATATATATATATATATATATATATATTATATATATTTTATTAACACATCGGTCGTTTCCCACCAAGGCAGGGTGACCCGAAAAAGAAAAGCATTCACCATCATTCGCTCCTTCACTGTCTTGCCAGAAGGGTGCTTTACACTACAGTTTTTAAACTGCAACATTAACACCCCCTCCTTCAGAGTGTAGGCACTGTACTTCCCATCTCCAGGACTCAAGTCCGGCCTGACAGTTTCCCTGAATACCTTCATAAATGTTACCTTGCTCACACTCCAACAGCACTTCATGTCCTAAAAGCCATTTGTCTCCATTCGCCGAACCACCGAGTTTGGCAAAGAAAAATTATTATTTAATCATAGATTTTAAGTGGTATTAAATAACTTTAAATCGGCCTATTAAATAACTTTAAATCGGCCTATGCGTTTAAGTAAGGTCAGGTGAGGTCTCTAAGTTAGTTTTGGTCCAAAAATAAAAATATTTATATTATTATCAATGATAAAATAAATGATCTAACTTTTTGAAAAAGAGAAAAAGATTAATAACAAAATAGGCACAATACCGCGACTGAAACAATACAGTGGACCCCCGCTTAACGATCACCTCCCAATGCGACCAATTATGTAAGTGTATTTATGTAAGTGCGTTTGTACGTGTATGTTTGGGGGTCTGAAATGGACTAATCTACTTCACAATATTCCTTATGGGAACAAATTCGGTCAGTACTGGCACCTAAACATACTTCTGGAATGAAAAAAATATCGTTAACCGGGGGTCCACTGTACACAACTAACCCGCACATAGCAGAGAGTCGGACAGAAACGTCGTCGTAAGCTCCTCTCTTCTATGTGCGGGTGATTTGTGTAAGAAAAAAATTAGTTTTAAGGGTGTGCAGCCTATTCGGCAAGTTCGGCTCGCCGAATTCACTTAAAAATTGAACTATTCCTAAAAATAATCCAGATTAGCAATGATGTAAAATAATTCATATTTGAACCAAACTAAAGTTAGAAATCTCACCTAACCTAACTTAACCTAACTTAACTTAACCTAACCTAACTTAACCTAACCTAACCTAACCTAACCTAACCTAACCTAACCTAACCTAACTTAACCTAACCTAACTTAACCTAACCTAACTTAACCTAACCTAACTTAACCTAACCTAACTTAACCTAACCTAACCTAACCTAACCTAACCTAACTTAACCTAACCTAACTTAACCTAACCTAACTGAACCTAACCTAACCTAACCTAACCTAACCTAACTTAACCTAACCTAACTTAACCTAACCTAACTTAACCTAACCTAACTTAACCTAACCTAACTTAACCTAACCTAACTTAACCTAACCTAACTTAACCTAACCTAACTTAACCTAACCTAACTTAACCTAACCTAACTTAACCTAACCCATTTTTTATCTAAATTGTGCTATGTATGTCATAGGCGAGTTAATTTCTAGAAATTAATGAACATTAGAGATTAATTAATTAATGACAACTAATTGAATTAATTTATTATCTTTCATAACATAACTAATTACACTCAAACACCTATCACAGCGATTAATATAATATATATACTCCACATTAGTGGGAAATTATTTCATGTGGTAAGTCAGTAAGTCAGTAAGTCAGTCTTCACTACGAATTAGCCTCTGCAGTAAGTCAGTCTTCACTACGAATTAGCCTCTGCAGTAAGTCAGTCTTCACTACGAATTAGCCTCTGCAGTAAGTCAGTCTTCACTACGAATTAGCCTCTGCAGTAAGTCAGTCTTCACTACGAATTAGCCCTCTGCAGTAAGTCAGTCTTCACTACGAATTAGCCTCTGCAGTAAGTCAGTCTTCACTACGAATTAGCCTCTGCAGTAAGTCAGTCTTCACTACGAATTAGCCTCTGCAGTAAGTCAGTCTTAACTACGAATTAGCCTCTGCAGTAAGTCAGTCTTCACTACGAATTAGCCTCTGCAGTAAGTCAGTCTTCACTACGAATTAGCCTCTGCAGTAAGTCAGTCTTCACTACGAATTAGCCTCTGCAGTAAGTCAGTCTTCACTACGAATTAGCCTCTGCAGTAAGTCAGTCTTCACTACGAATTAGCCTCTGCAGTAAGTCAGTCTTCACTACGAATTAGCCTCTGCAGTAAAGTCAGTCTTCACTACGAATTAGCCTCTGCAGTAAGTCAGTCTTCACTACGAATTAGCCTCTGCAGTAAGTCAGTCTTCACTACGAATTAGCCTCTGCAGTAAGTCAGTCTTCACTACGAATTAGCCTCTGCAGTAAGTCAGTCTTCACTACGAATTAGCCTCTGCAGTAAGTCAGTCTTCACTACGAATTAGCCTCTGCAGTAAGTCATCTTCACTACGAATTAGCCTCTGCAGTAAGTCAGTCTTCACTACGAATTAGCCTCTGCAGTAAGTCAGTCTTCACTACGAATTAGCCTCTGCAGTAAGTCAGTCTTCACTACGAATTAGCCTCTGCAGTAAGTCAGTCTTCACTACGAATTAGCCTCTGCAGTAAGTCAGTCTTCACTACGAATTAGCCTCTGCAGTAAGTCAGTCTTCACTACGAATTAGCCTCTGCAGTAAGTCAGTCTTCACTACGAATTAGCCTCTGCAGTAAGTCAGTCTTCACTACGAATTAGCCTCTGCAGTAAGTCAGTCTTCACTACGAATTAGCCTCTGCAGTAAGTCAGTCTTCACTACGAATTAGCCTCTGCAGTAAGTCAGTCTTCACTACGAATTAGCCTCTGCAGTAAGTCAGTCTTCACTACGAATTAGCCTCTGCAGTAAGTCAGTCTTCACTACGAATTAGCCTCTGCAGTAAGTCAGTCTTCACTACGAATTAGCCTCTGCAGTAAGTCAGTCTTCACTACGAATTAGCCTCTGCAGTAAGTCAGTCTTCACTACGAATTAGCCTCTGCAGTAAGTCAGTCTTCACTACGAATTAGCCTCTGCAGTAAGTCAGTCTTCACTACGAATTAGCCTCTGCAGTAAGTCAGTCTTCACTACGAATTAGCCTCTGCAGTAAGTCAGTCTTCACTACGAATTAGCCTCTGCAGTAAGTCAGTCTTCACTACGAATTAGCCTCTGCAGTAAGTCAGTCTTCACTACGAATTAGCCTCTGCAGTAAGTCAGTCTTCACTACGAATTAGCCTCTGCAGTAAGTCAGTCTTCACTACGAATTAGCCTCTGCAGTAAGTCAGTCTTCACTACGAATTAGCCTCTGCAGTAAGTCAGTCTTCACTACGAATTAGCCTCTGCAGTAAGTCAGTCTTCACTACGAATTAGCCTCTGCAGTAAGTCAGTCTTCACTACGAATTAGCCTCTGCAGTAAGTCAGTCTTCACTACGAATTAGCTCTGCAGTAAGTCAGTCTTCACTACGAATTAGCCTCTGCAGTAAGTCAGTCTTCACTACGAATTAGCCTCTGCAGTAAGTCAGTCTTCACTACGAATTAGCCTCTGCAGTAAGTCAGTCTTCACTACGAATTAGCCTCTGCAGTAAGTCAGTCTTCACTACGAATTAGCCTCTGCAGTAAGTCAGTCTTCACTACGAATTAGCCTCTGCAGTAAGTCAGTCTTCACTACGAATTAGCCTCTGCAGTAAGTCAGTCTTCACTACGAATTAGCCTCTGCAGTAAGTCAGTCTTCACTACGAATTAGCCTCTGCAGTAAGTCAGTCTTCACTACTAGTTTCTTCTCGGTTCCTTGATAATATTAATAATATCTTTATTTCTAAAAGCATGTGTACAAGGTACAGGCCTAGCTGACATCGATTACATACTACTACACAGAAAGGATGCAGCCCACACCAGTCGACTAACTCACAGGTACTCATTTTACTGATGGGTGAACATAGACAGCCGGTGTAAGGAAACACATTGAAGGGTAAACACGAAGGGTAAATGTCGAAGGGTAAACACGAAGGGTAAATGTCGAAGGGTAAACACGACAAAGTTTTAGGTGAGACTTAATTACACTTTCCTTGTCCTCTCTGTCGTAGGGAAGAATACACCGAACTTTCGTGTGATTTTTACGCTTGAGGCAAGATTCAACTAAACCTTCCTTGTTTCTTTCGCTTTTTTCGCCTGCACAGTGGGAGGAGGGTCAGCGGGGTGCGTGCTGGCATCAAGACTGTCAGAGATAGCAGGGTGGAAAATACTTCTACTGGAGGCGGGAGATACTCCTCCTCCAGAGAGCTACGTCCCAGGATATCACCAGATGGTGCTACTGAGCAATGCAGACTGGAACTACTACACCACTCCACAAAAGAACTCCTTCCTGGGTTACGTCGATCATGTAAGTAGTTGTGTGTGACCTTCATTAGTGACGAATGTGTGACCTTCAGTAGTGACGAATGTGTGACCTTTAATAGTGACGAATGTGTGACCTTTAATAGCGACGATTGTGAGACTTTCAGAAGTGGTGAATGTGTGACGTTCAAAAGAGAAGCATGTGAGACCTTCAACATTGAAGCATGTGTGATCTTTGGTACTGAAGCATGTGCGGGTTGAGACTCCTTTATTATTAACAAATTCACGAATGTACGTGAATCATCACATACCATCTTTCACACAGTCTGTGACAAAGCCGGAAATGTAGGGAACTTGCATTTGCAAGAATGCCAGTTAGGTCCCCAGTTGTCCTCGCTCTAAGTTAATATGAAGTTTCATTCATTTTGAGGAGCTATAATGAATTATTGCCTGAAAGTATTAGAATTATCTATTATAAGAAGCACACACACACACACACACACACACATGCATACACACCGGGGCCGGACATCTCTCCATGGGTCCTACGAGAGGGTGCAGAGGCACTGTGTGCCACTAACAACAATCTTCAACACAGGACAAAACAGGGCGACTACATAAAGTGTGGAAGACAGATACGCTGCATCAAACTACAGACCAGTGTCACTGTCGTGTATAGTATGCAAAGTCATGGAGAAGGTTTTCACGAGACGAGTGGTGGAGCACCTAGAAAGGAATGAGAACATTTACAACAACCAGCACAGTTTCAGGGAAAGGAAATCCTGTGCCACAAACCTACTGGAGTTCTACGACAAGGTGATGGAAATAACAGAGAATGGGGTGGGTAGATTGCATTTCTTGGAATGTAAGAAGGCTTTTCGTACAGTTCCACACCAGAGATTAGAAGAAAAGCTCGAGTGTCAGGTAGGTATAACATAGAAGGTACTGCAATGAATCGGGGAATACCATGATAGGTAGGCAACAGAAGGTCATGGTACGTGATGAGGAGTGAGAGTGGGCGACAGTGACGAGCGGGGTTCCATAGGAGTCAGCCATAGGACCACTGCTGTTTCTGGTATAAGTGAATGACATGGCAGAAGGGATAGACTAAGAAGTGTCCCTGTTTGCAGACGATGTGAGGCTAATGAAGAGAATTCAGTGGGATGAGGATTAGGCAGGACTACAAAGGGATCTGGACAGGCTGCAAGCCTGATCCAGTGTCTGGCTCCAGGAGTTTAACACCATCAAGTACAAATTCATGAAGATTGGGGAAGAGCAAAGAAGACCGCAGTGTATAAGGCTAGGGAGGCAAGGCCTGCAAGCATCACTCAAGGAAAGAACCTTCGGGTGAGGGTAATACTGAGCACATCTGAAGCACACATCAACCAAATAACTGTTGCAGCATAGGGACACCTGGAAAGCAGAAGAATAGCATTTCAAGACCTTTCATGACACTGTACACTGTGTACGTTGGGCCCATATTGGAGTATGCATCATTATATGGAACCTACACCTGGTCAAGCACGTCAGAAAATTAAAGAAAGTGCAAAGGTTTGCAGCAAGACTAGTCCCGGAGATAAGAGGCATGTCGTACGAGAAGTTAGTGGAAATCGACCTGACGACACTTGAGAAGAGGAGGCATGGGGGGACATGATAACGACATAAAATACTGAGAGGAATTGACAAGATGGATAGAGGCAGAATGTTTCAGAGATGGGACACAGCAACAAAGGGTCACAGTTTTAAGAGGAAGACTCAGATGAGTCACAGGGATGTTAGAAAGTATTTCTTCAGTCATAGAGTTGTCAGGATGTGGTCTAGTCTGGAAAACAATGTAGTGGAGGCAGGATCCATACATAGCTTTAAGAAGAGGTATGATAAAGCTGATGGAGGAAGATGAGAGAGGCCCTAGTAGCGACCAGTGAAGAGGGGCCAGAAGCTATGAATCAACCCCTTCAACCACAATTAGGTGAGTACAAATACACACACATACATAAACAAATATTTACAATCTCTCTCTCTCTCTCACACACACACATATTGACAAGTTCTTTTGACACCTAGTAACTATTACAGACACACATGCTCACAATCACACACACTCACTCACACACACATAAACACACACACACACACACACACAACACACACACACACACACACACACACACACACACACACACACACACACACACACAAGAAATGACCGTGAAGTATGTGAAGAACTCAACAAGAGATTCAAAGAAGTGTTCACAGAGGAGACAGAAGGGACTCCAGAAAGACGGAGAGGTGGGGCACACCACCAAGTGCTGGACACAGTGCCACACAACCGAGGAAGAAGTGAAGAGGCTTCTGAGTGAGCTAGATACCTCAAAGGCAATGGGGCCAGATAACATCTCCCCATGGGTATTGAGAGAGGGAGCAGAGGCGCTATGTGTACCCCTAACAACAATATTCAATACATCTATCGAAACAGGGAGATTGCCTGAGGCATGGAAGACAGCAAATGTAGTCCCAATCTTTAAAAAAGGAGACAGACATGAAGCATTAAACTACAGACCAGTGTCACTGACATGTATAGTATGCAAAATCATGGAGAAGATTATCAGGAGAAGAGTGGTGGAACACCTAGAAAGGAATGATCTCATCAACAGCAGCCAACATGGTTTCAGGGACGGGAAATCCTGTGTCACAAACCTACTGGAGTTCTATGACATGGTGACAGCAGTAAGACAAGAGAGAGAGGGGGTGGGTGGATTGCATTTCTTGGACTGCAAGAAGGCGTTTGACACAGTTCCACACAAGAGATTGGTGCAAAAACTGGAGGACCAAGCAGGGATAACAGGGAAGGCACTACAATGGATCAGGGAATACTTGTCAGGAAGACAGCAGCGAGTCATGGTACGTGGCGAGGTGTCAGAGTGGGCACCCGTGACCAGCGGGGTCCCGCAAGGGTCAGTCCTAGGACCAGTGCTGTTTTCTGGTATTTGTGAACGACATGAAGGAAGGAATAGACTCTGAGGTGTCCCTGTTTGCAGATGACGTGAAGTTGATGAGAAGAATTCACTCGATGGAAGACCAGGCATAACTACAAAGGGATCTGGACAGGCTGCAGACCTGGTCCAGCAATTGGCTCCTGGAGTTCAATCCCACCAAGTGCAAAGTCATGAAGATTGGGGAAGGGCAAAGAAGCCGCAGACGGAGTACAGTCTAGGGGGTCAGAGACTACAAACCTCACTCAAGGAAAAAGATCTTGGGGTGAGTATAACACCAGGCACATCTCCTGAAGCGCACATCAACCAAATAACTGCTGCAGCATATGGGCGCCTAGCAAACCTCAGAACAGCATTCCGACATCTTAATAAGGAATCATTCAGGATCCTGTACACCGTGTATGTTAGGCCCATATTGGAGTATGCGGCACCAGTTTGGAACCCACACCTAGCCAAGCACGTGAAGAAACTAGAGAAAGTGCAAAGGTTTGCAACAAGACTAGTCCCAGAGCTAAGAGGTATGTCCTACGAGGAGAGGTTAAGGGAAATCAACCTGACGACACTGGAGGACAGGAGAGATAGGGGGGACATGATAACGACATACAAAATACTGAGAGGAATTGACAAGGTGGACAAAGACAGGATGTTCCAGAGATTGGACACAGTAACAAGGGGACACAGTTGGAAGCTGAAGACACAGATGAATCACAGGGATGTTAGGAAGTATTTCTTTAGCCACAGAGTAGTCAGTAAGTGGAATAGTTTGGGAAGCGATGTAGTGGAGGCAGGATCCATACATAGCTTTAAGCAGAGGTATGATAAAGCTCACGGCTCAGGGAGAGTGACCTAGTAACGATCAGTGAAGAGGCGGGGCCAGGAGCTCGGACTCGACCCCCGCAACCTCAACTAGGTGAGTACAACTAGGTGAGTACACACACACACAAAGATACTGAGCCTGGATGAAGAACTGGAAGTGCTGAAACAGGATATAAAGACGAGGAACTAAAGGAGTAAGGTGGTGGTCATAGAAACATCAGCAAACAGCAAGGTAACTGAAGGAGGGTAAGGAGCTAAGAATCTTGCAGAAGTAATATATATATATATATATATATATATATATATATATATATATATATATATATATATATATATATAAATATATATATATATATATATATATATATATTCACACACAAGCAAACACACACATTTTGCAGAAACTAGAATATAAAGAAAAAAGTGAGACCCTAGAGGTGAGTATGAAGAGCCAGAGGAACAGAAGAACATTGGCCTGGGAAGGAAGACTGGATAGAAGGCGTCAGGAGAAGGGTGGAATAAGATTGGGAAAGGAAGACAGGTGAGCTGAAAATAAAAAAAATGTAGATAGCTGCAGAGAGCAAGAAATAGGAGCTGTGAGTCAATGTTGCAAAAGCTAGGATACAGAGCCTAGAAAATTAATTGAAAATGCTGAAAGAGGATATAGACACAAAGAACAAAAATGAGTACAGAATCAGGAGCAGGTACACCAGTATCCAATGAGGGTACTAAATGAAAGGAAGGAGTTAAGTCCTATTTGGAGGCTGTATCATGCCACCAGGATATGACAAGGAACAACAGTGACACAGGGAGCAGTAAGTGAGAGGGAAGAGTTGTAGGCAGAGAAAGGATAGGCTCCCTTCAGAGATCTATCAGGCCACCGGGAGATTAAAGAAATGATAAGAGAGGCAGCAATGGCTTTGTTTAAATAGGACCCAGAGATACAGAAGGAAAATCAGTGGGAAGAGGAGAGGAAGAGGTTAGTTTTTACTCAGGAGAAAAAAACACTAGGAGGAAAAAACAAGAGATTGAAGATATCAAACACACACACATATATGCACAAACATATCGACAAATTCCTTTGATACCTAGTAACTACTAATCACATGCACACCTCTACAGAAAGTTTACAGACTGCGTAAAATAGAGCATCCTAACAGGGTAAAACAAAAAAATGGGATCTCAAAAGGGAGGACATGAAGGCAAGGGAACCGAGGATGGCTGATCTGAGAAGGAA